AAAAAAAAAAAAAATTTACCTTGTTGGAGAAGAATCCTTTGCCGATGCCGTAGGATTTTTTCGACATTTTTTTGGATTTTTTTTATGCTCGAATCGTTCGTTGAAGTTCGGAAATTTAGAGAGATAGAAAGTTTAGATAGATGAAATCCAAAAAAAGGTTAAGGGCAAAAGAGTAAATGGGGGGGCGGTGACTAGTAAAAGGGGAGCGGTGAATAGCGATTGAATTGTCTTATTATTTTATTGGTTAACATGGAATCCATATTTGTCTTATATTATTTTATTTGTTAACATGGGAGTGGGAGAAAATTTTTATTTTTCCACATTTTTATCTTATTATTTTATTGTTTATTCCATATATGATTACCAATCTTTTAAAAAATAACTAAACTATATTTAATATTTATAAATATCATATATTTTAAAATATCAATAAATTAAATAACTTAAAAATTAAGTTAATTATATTTATGAAATATTATATATATTTAAAAATATAAATAAATTAAATAACGGTCCAACCGGTTCAACCACTGGTCGGACCAGTGAACCGGTGAACCAGTAGGTTAACCGGTTCGATGACCGGTCCGGTTTTCAGAACATTGATTTGAATTTCGAAGTTGAATGCGATCGGTTTTTTCAAACAAAGATTCAATTGTCATCATGAAAAATTTCTTAATAGATATCATTACGTGAAACATGGAAAGTTGTTTATTATATACTTAAAAAAAAAAAAAGACTAAATGACAGCTAATAGATTTTTGGATCTGACTAAATCACACCTAACATATTTTCATATGGTTTAAATTAAAAGAAAATCAGAAGACTAAAGGATTTTTGGATTTTTTAGCTAGTCTCCAAAAAGGAGAAGTCAAGGGTGTTAGACCCCTTTTTTTTCAATTTTGCACAAATGATTTCACCATCAACCTTTTTCAATATATATAAATTCCACTATTTAATAAAATTTTATTAATCTATAAATATGAATGAAAATATCTTACCCGTCATAGAATTCATACTATATATGTAATTAAGTCAAAATAATAATATTATACTTCATAATCAAGCCTAATATGTAAATTAGTCAAACTAATAATATTATACATCAAGAGCAACTATATCATAGCCACGCTCCACGACCAAGACCCAGATTACACGCTTGTCAAAAGAAATGTGCAGCAGCAATGCCCTAGGACAACTTCCCAGAAGCGATCCCCCAATCCTCTTCACTTTTGCCCGCTTCACTCGCCCCGAAAGCTCTCCCCACTTCGTCTCATTCCGGGTCGGGCCAAGACGGTGGCCCGTTTTCCGGTGTTCCGCGAACGACGTCGTTTCGGAGCGACAAGCCATGAGCTTTTACGAGTTGCTCGGCATACCCCAGACGGGTTCTCTAACAGAAATCAAGCAGGCGTACAAGCAGCTCGCCAGGAAGTACCACCCGGACGTGTCTCCTCCGGGTCGGGTCGAGGAGTACACGCAGAGGTTTATTCGTGTGCAGGAAGCGTACGAGACGCTATCTGATCCTAAGACGAGGGAATTGTATGATCGAGACATGGCCAAGGGGGTTCACCTCGCCTTTACTGCCCGCAAATTTCATGAGGTTAGCAGCTTAGCCCTTTTTCGATTTCGATTTTCCCTCTGTTAGTATGTCTTATTTGTAGTGAATTTTTTTGTTTCTCTTTGTTTGTTACATAAGCAGTCTCATATAAAAGTTGCAATTTTGGTGTTTTAGAGCTATCAAATGAATTTAGTCAGCTGTTGGAATATATTTATACTTCATTTTATTCTTCTCTTGCTTCTGTTTTGTTGTTTCTCAAACATATTTGTTTCTGTATTTGTGTAAATGTGGAGAAGGCAAATTGTCTATAGAAATTAATGACTTTGCTACAGCCCAATCCAATTGTCTATATATGAATCATAAATCACAACAATGAACACACAGTGTTAGAACTTAGAACCCTTGTGGATGTCATTTAAAAGGATAACTGTCATGTGCTTGTTATGTTTGATATTTTGATTTGCATAAGTGAGTTCATCACTGGGCGCCTATTTCCTCTAATGATGATTGAACTTTAACCATTGTTTTTTTCTGAAAATGTGTTGGGACATACAGACCACGATAGTAATTTATTCTTCTTTTTAACACATTTTTTTGCTATATCGAGAATTTTATAACTAATTGCCAAACGTAGAGACTGTTGATCCTGAGTTGCTTCTAACAAAGAGAAACATTCCGAAACATTCTAGATATTTCTTTATTTTGTATTTTTTGTATTTTTTTTTTCTGCTCACAGCAGAACATGGATGACAAGGCTGAGTGGAAGAACCGTTGGCAGTCTCAATTGTCGCAACTCAAGAAAAAAAGTATGCAAAAGGATTCTGATGATGATAATATGTCATGGGCTGCAAGAATGAGGAGAGGAAGGAATNAAACAGCTCTAGAGGCCGTGAAGCATTGCTTTTACTGCATAAGTGGAAAGAAATTGCCTATTACATGTTAGTTTTCCAGAGATATATATAAAGCACAATGTAATTACATATAGTTTCTATGTATATTGCATATGTTGCGCATGCCATTTGATCAGATTTCTCATTGATCCTTATTTTTCAGCCACCCAAGCATGTCAAGCGGACTATTATACTTGCATTATAAATAATGTATTTTGAAATCGAATCCTTTATTCAAATATCGTCTTAAGCTTATAGGTGAAATAGGTAGGCGGATGAAAGGATGAAATTTGAGCTATTGCCTTTGTCAGGAACTCATCTTGTTGCATAATGCATCCATACACTGAATAGAATGCAAAAGCATTTTGGTTTTCTTTCAAATTCACAATGTGGGATAGTTGAATTTCTGTACGTCTCGACATTTGGTGATATTCCTCCTCTGGCTTTCAAAATATTTCTTTTTTTTTTAAACATTTGATATTTACTGATGAGATAGTCCAAGCTCTCTCTCTGAGTGTGTGTTTACAGTATGCCACTTTGACAGCCAGTGGATGTGAAGGTGCTTGAACAAGTGATGGTGTTGATACTCTCCACAGGGCCTTCCTGAAAAAGCTTGCAACTTGCAAGTAATTGGTAAAAGCTTATACTGTCCAGTGTTTAATCAAATTGTCTCTTACTAATCCCCTCAGCAATAGTGTCTAGTTCATGTAGGTCCCAAACCAAACCTTATCGGTCTCCAGGTGGACCACAGTTTCCGTAGATGTTGTGGCTTCTGTTCTTTGTAGCTCTGCCATTGAAATTGATATACCACAAATTATCCACAAGGATCTAGTCTATGAAAGTTGCATTTTCATTGTGATGTAGATATCAATAGTGGACCTATTATTCTGAGACCAAGAAAGGTATGTCGTTAAAGGTTGAAAAATCTCCTTCCATGCAACCAAATCCACATTTATTTTCATCCATAGGGGATTTATTTTTTATTTTCAATTACATCAACCATGTTTTTTTGTTCGTTCTGTTAAAATATTGGTCCTCATTTCAGAGAAAAAATAAAAAATAAAAAATGGGTGCCACTTCTTCTGAAATTACCTAAATTTTGTAGCCCTTTTAATTTTGCTTGGCCATTATGTTTTCTAAAACATTCGACCATATGTTTACTCGGTTTTGCTATTAATTAATTAAAATAAGGCGGTATTAAATTAGAACTATGTGCATATGTACACTTACAAATACAAATTTATATATTATTTTGTATGTATATATAATTTTAAAATTAAGAATAGTAATGAATATACAACATTTTGAAAATTTTATTGTATTTAAACATAAATGATATAAGTATAAACTATTTCTACATATAAATCACTATATTGATTACAATAGTGTAATTTTGAAAATTTTGAGTGATTATGACCAATTAGTTAGGTAAAAATAATATTAAAACTATTATTATAACAATTGTGAGTGGAATTTTAAATGGTTTGGTTATACTATAAAAAGCAGTTAACGAATTTTAATAAAAAATGCTTTATGAGTAAAAAAAAAAGATAATAATTATTTTAAATAAATAGTGTTGATGACCGACTTGGTTTCATGAGGTTAGAGCTAAAGACTAATCGCTTCGTTCAATTAATAGTCCTTCAGAAATAGTTAAACTTAGCTCAAGTCGGTATCGGTTAAATACGTTGATTACCGACTTTCAGTTGATTGAAAGTAGAACCGACAACTTATCAGAAGGCGACAACCGACTTCACCAACATTGTGAATATGACTATTAAAAATTATCCATTCCTCCGACATTCGAGGAGATCGAATTTCCAAGCAAGAGGTGTTGTACATATTTGATTGAGCCATCAAAACAAAAAGCAATCATTGATGTTTCCTCATTCCACTACACACCGTTTTATTGAAGCTGCTCAACATTAAATGCGATCTTATCTACCTCGGACAAAAAAACAAAAGCAACCGTACTATAAATAGTAGAATTTACAGATGTACGGGGATCTTTTTTGGACACATTGTACACGGACTTGAAATGATCTCGGTCAAGAACAAAAAAAACCGACTTCCTGTACTCTTGTTATTTCATAAATAAAATACAATTATCTTCTTATTTCTGTTTAAACACTTCCAGCTGTTTATAATTTTAAGTTGTTAATTACATACAACAACAAATAGTTTAAAAATATTTTTAAATATAACTTTTTATATGTATAAACTTTCATATATCATTTAGTGTTAAATAAATAAATAGTGATTATGAAAATCTCCTTCACGTGTTTTGGAATTCTTCGACTATAGTGATTATGAAAATCTCGGCCCAATCCACGATCCTTCGACTTGTTGCTTTGGGGATTTTCATTCTTAGAACTTTGGGGATTCAAGATATTGGAAACCTCCTTCATGTATTTCAGATACAATGTTCCTGAGAGGACGACCTTTCTAGGGCTTACACGAAAAGTTGATAATTGAGAAAAAAATTAGAAAAATGTAAAAACAGGTGCAAGAAGTTGATATGCGACTAAAATACGATAGACCCGTGATTGATTGAACTGTTCACACAATTTATCAATTTTTACGCGCTTCCTCAATTAACTTCGCCTATGTTGCATATTTTATCGTATAACTAGATCACATTTGTTGAATTATCTTCGCCCGTCTGTCGCTTTGTTTATGGCAAATCTATTTCGCACTTTATCGATTATCTTGACATGTTTGTCGCGTGGTTTATCGCATAAATATTTTACAATTTATTGATTATCTTAACATGTGTCGCGTAGTTCATCGCCTATATATTTCACAATTTTTCAATTTTCTTCGCCTCTCTTCGCATAGTTGTTGTATAAATATTTCACGCTTTATCAATTATCTTCGTCTGCCTGTCGCGTAGTTTATGGCATAATGATGTCGCACTAGCTCGACTATCTTTGTCTGTCTGTCGCATAATTTATGACATAATGAGATCTCACTTGCTCGATTACCTTTTCATGAATGTCGTAGTTTATCACATATATAATTCGCATTTGCTCAACTAACTTTGTTTGTCTGTTGCACGCTTTATCGCATAATTTGCTTTTGCACTTGCTCAATGAACTTCACTTGTCTATCGCATAAGTAATCCACACTTTCTCAATGAACTTCGTTTGTTTGTTGCATAGTTTATCGAATTATTTGTTTCGCACTTTCTCAATATTTTTCGCCCGTTTGTCGCATATTTTACCGTATAAGTCGCACTTGCTCAATTACTTTCGCATGTCTGTTGCATGCTTTATCGCGTAACTTTTTTTCGCACTTGCTCAATTAACTTCGTTTGTTTGTTGCATAGTTTATCGCATATCATATCGTATAAATATTCCGCATTTTATAAATTATCTTCGCCTTTCTGTCGCATAGTTTATCGTATAATATTTTCGCACTTTATAGATTATCTTCGTCTGTGTCGCATAGTTTATCGCATAATATTATCGAATTTATCAATTATCATCGCGCGTATGTCGCATAGGTTATTGCATAACAATTTAGCACTTTATCAATTATCTTCGTCTGTCTGTCGCATAGCTTTTTTCATCAATTATCTTAGCCTGTTTGTCGCATAGTTTATCGCATAATTATTTCGCACTTTATCGATTATTTTCATCTGTCTGTCGCATATTTATTTCGCACTTTATTAATTATCTTCAACTGCTTGTCGCAAAGCTCTTCGCATAATGTTTCGCACTTTATCAATTATCTTCTCCACAACCTCGTCAGACATCACGTTCTCGCACGACCCAGAATCAATAACAAAACGACACACCCGACCGCCTATGGTACATGTAGATTCGAAAAGTTTTCGACGCAGGCCCTCATTAGTGGACTCGATGTGCGGTGACAAAAGAGACTGACGAAGGATAAGCTACGTCCCTCGAGACATGCACCTCAAGAACCTCTGGCTCTTTGTCAAATAGGAGGGTCATCATATACTGCGGCTGCCGAATATTCCGCTGTTTCCTCGGCGAACAAAGCACGTGACCCGACGCCTCTTGGACAAGCCGCCTGCCGATGGCCAAGCTCACCGCAGCCGAAGCATCGTATCCCACCACCAGCCCGTTGTGTACCGGTAGCTGGAGCCGACCCCATTTCGCCGTGTGATTGTGGCAGCCCATTGTTGGCCACAACTCCGCGCCCCATTGCCGGCGCTGAGCCCGAGTACATGCCCGTAGCAGGTGGTCCACGTCCGGACTGCACACCAGCACTCATAGATGCATCCACCCATGAGGAAGACGCAATGGATGGAGCCGTCTTCCGGGCCAACTGTTTCTCCACAACGAGAGCTCGTTGATGTGCATCCGAAACAGACTCCGGGACAACTAGATTAAGCACATCCTGGATAGCAACATTCAAACCCCCCACATAACGGGCAACCAATTGGCCCTTTGTCTCACGTATCTCCACACGAGTTAAGAGGCGATAAAAGTCCTCTGTATACTCGTGAACCGAAAGAGGTCCTTGCCGCAAATTATGTAACTGCTGATAAACCACATGATCATAATTAAAAGGTAGAAATTCACGTTCTACGTACTTACGGAACTGTATCCACGTGGAGATTTCTGACTTCCCCTGGCGATGCCGCAAACTCGTGAGTTGCATCCACCATGTCGCCGCTCGACCATGGAACCGTGTGGCGACAAGAGCGGCACACCTTTCGTCTAGGATCTCCTTAAATTTGAGGATAGACTCAACTGTAGCCTACCAGTCGAGGAACTCTGCTGCATCCGCTCCTCCTGAAAACTCGGGAATCTCAACCCGAAACCCGAGGTCCCCGCGCTACTCACTGCCGCCGTCCACCCTGCGCAGATCACGTCGGTTTGGCTCGCGGCCTCGACCAACGACGTGGTCAAACCATCCGCGAGGGTGCTGATCCGCAGGTGCGAATTTCAGCCCTTCCCGCTACTGCATCCCGTCGCCACGCCACTGTCCATAGGGACCGAAGCCCGGCCCGTCGTGCCTCCGTTGCTCACCATCCACGTACCACCAGTCATCTTCCTCATCCAGGTCTGCTCATCCACGAAGGAACCCTGATCGCGGCGCCTGTTGTCGCCGTCAACGAAGCCACGATCGTTGCACAACTCGCCATGGTTTCTCGACGCGAAGAACTCGTCACCCGCAGCACGGTGTCACCGTCCATCCGCGAACGGATTGTCCACGGTGATGGGGTCCTCAGTATCGCTGCCGCCGGGCGTTGTCTGAGGCAAACGCTGGCGGGGCGCCCCGCCATAGCCACGCCCGCCCCGTCCACCACGAAACCCTCCGCGCACGCCTCTGTCACCGGCGTCGCGGTTCGTATGCACTTCCTCCACCAAGGTACGCATAGCCAGACGTAATTCCTCGACTCCCGTGGAAAGGTCCGCAAATCGATCGTCCATCCCTTGAAGCTGATCCTCCATTCGTTGGAATCGGTCGTTGATGACGGCTTCGTTTGCATCGTTCCCTTTCATTGGCGGTATCGCGGATCGTTGCTGGTCTCTGGATACCAACTGATATAGAACGTGAATAAGAATGGGAAAGATACGAGATACTCTCTCGTGAAGAACTCACAATATCTGATACTCCTTCTACTATCTTGCCTAACAAGCTGCAAGATAATTATTTACTTACTCATAATAATTAACTAAGCAAGGAATTAGAATAAAAGGAAGAATAATGCTAAAATAATAAATAAATTAAGTCCGAAGTCAATCATATTTATTGTGGAACGCGAGGGCGATCTCGTCTCCATCACTCTCTCTCCTAATTATCTGTTTACAATAAATATTAAAGAAATAAATATAAGAAATTATGGACCAATCAAATTGAAGTCTTCTTTTCCTAGAAACACCTATAAATAGGAGTGCTCCCTAAGGTCAAAAAACACAATTCATATTCACAATTCAAGTTCCAAGTCCAAGAGCTCTAGAGAATTCTCTCAACGAGACTCAAGTGTTCTTGCAGATCCAAAGGCGTTCTTGAAGATTCGAAGGAAGATTCAAGCGCGTTCAAGCTCGAGACCGACGTTCAATCCGGAAACAAGCTGCCAAGCCTCCGAATTACGTTATTAAAGTCAAGACTGACTTGGAGAAGATCGAAGATCAACTTTGCAGCGAAGACCAAGGACTCGTGTTCCTCACGTTCTTGGGAAATCACAACGTTCGATTCGAGATCAAGCTGTCAAACCCTCGAAGAAACATTATTTAAATCCAAATTCGAGACCGGTGGAGATCAAACTGAAGATTCATCTCCAAAAGTCCCATATCCATTTGAAGATTGTTCTTGAAGAAATTAATCAGAGGAATAATAGAGATTTGTAATCCACTATATTTCATTTGATCTGTTGAAAATTCATTTGTACGAAGTTCTCGTGTTTATTAATTCAATAATACGAAATTTGTGTTACAATGAGTTAAAAAAAGTTAACTTATTATTTGACGGTGTGTAAAACTTATTCCGTCCTTAGAACGGGGTGTAAATAGCTATTTTCTCGAGTATTAATTATGAAAAAAATAAAAAGATTAATGAGCATTTATAATCGATGTTTGGAGTAAAAAACGAACCAAGATAATGGTGAGTAGTATCTAAAATAATTGGATAAATTCTAGTTGAATTTTATTTTGTTGAAGTTGCACGGTGTGGTGTTGTCTATAAAACAAACGAAGGGCATTGATTTTGTTACTGGTGGCATTACGCACCTCACTTGGAGCTAAAATTTGATTTCACGGAAGCATGTTCGGCCTATAAATAATTGCTATTTTGTCGCATACTTGATTGCATAACTATTTCACACTTTATCAATTATTTTCAGTGTGTCGCATATTTTAGCACATAATTGTTCCACACTTTATCAATTATCTCCGTCTGTAATTCGCATAGCTTATCGCATAATTGGATGAAGAAAACTGGGGGTAGCAGCTGCAACAGGAGCTGAATAAGCGGTCGGCTGTTAACTGACTGGTTGTAGGTTCAAATCCTACTTCGGCACGTGTTTATGTATTGAACGAGATTCAAGCTGGGAGGGAGATTTCTGATAAGGGATCAGACCACCACGGTAGATGTGGAAACCACATTCGTAGGCCGACAATTTATCTGGATAGGTCGAACTATTGGAAGAAAATGAAAAAGGAAGACCGAGTGGGATCAAAGAAACTAGCAAACTGATCACTAAATAGATCAAAATAGGTTCAAGCGAAAGGAGACTAACGAAGCGAAGCGAAGTGACATTCACACTTTATCAATTATCTTCGCATGTTTGTCGCATAGCTTTTCGTATAATTTATTTCACACTTTATGAGATAAAAAATTTAACTTATTATTTGGCAGTGCGTAAAACTTATTCCGTCTCTTAAAACGAGGTGAAAATAGCTATTTTCTCGAATATTAATTATGCAAAAAATAAAAGGAATAATGAGTATTTATAATCCACGTTTGGAGTAAAAAATGAACCAAGATAGTGGTGNGTTCGGCCTATTAATAATTGCTATTTTAAGTATTTTATATAAATAACTAGCTATGTTTTTTTTTTTCTAAGAGGTATACATTATATTATAAATTGCAGTAGTTCGTGCAAAAGAAAAAGTAAATTATAAAAGCATTTTTGGAGCATAAAAATGGTGATATTATTTTAATAGTTGGAGGTGGGAGTTGTAAATAATTTAGAGGGAGAGAGTGGAAGAAAGAAAAGGTAGGAAATCTATATATATATAATTGCTAGCTAATTCCATTTAATAAAACATTTAATAAAAATATTTTCATTTTCCCTTCAAAAGGAGTTACATTTTTTTTAATTAATTACTCATTAATCTCACATTTAAGAAGGTTTTTTATAGTTAAATTTAATTAGTTAATGACTAAATTAAAAAGATTTATTTTAATTAATCCCACATTTATGTTAAGTACAATATTATCTTAATATCTTATTAGTTTTTAAAAAAAATAGTAACTTTTTTCAATAAATTTTATAAAAATTAGTCAAATGTGCTTATATTCATATAAATCAGAAAAAAAATTTAAATCTTAGATATATAAAAAGAACATCGTTGAAATAACTTGAATCCGCAAGGGTAATTCTATACTCATTATCAATTACTTTAAATTTTTTGTTTATATTAAAAATTAATATTATATTTACTCATTTATATTTAGATGGTATTTTTTTTATTAAGAAGCAAGGACAATCTCTATCAATCAATAAGAGTCAAGGACAAACAATATAAAGAAGTGTTTCCTATGCTATGACATGATCAATAAGAGTCGAAGACAGTCTCTGTCGCACGTCGGCTTACTACTGAAGAGCTCTGTATTTAGTCATGAGCAATTATACGTGGCGCTTTTTAGAGTTACGAGTCAGTGGGGTTTCAAGATTTTGATTTGAGCTGAGGGAGATTTTGACAATAGAAAAACCACGACGTCGTTTTATAAAAAAGTGTTTAAGAATATTTATATTTTTTTTCTTAATTTTTTTCAATGAATTTGTTATGATTTTCACTATTGTTTATAATTTTTATTATTTATTTTTTCATGTATCATATAGTTTTCCGTGCAAATGCACGGGACAAAAACTAGTGGGTTTTTGAATTTGGCTGATAATTAGCTTACCTTATAATAATATTCATGCGAAGTGGATTGACATTGCTATAAGCGAAAAATATGCGAAAAATATTTATATTTCAAATAATAATTACGTTACATTTGGAGAACGAGGGATTCGGAGGACATCATAAATTGGGAGTGAGAAGAGAATGAGATTTGATGTAAAGGAAGGGCCGCTCTTAATTTTCATATATGCTCTTAGCCTCCAATTTCTCTCTCCAATTTTCAACTTCCTTCTCTCCCTCTCTTCTCCTCCTCCATCTTTCCACATTCTTGCACAAGGGAGTGAGAAGAAAAGAAGGGAAGAAGATTTTGTCCATTAATTTTGATTTATTTAATTAATAATATAAATCCCATAATCAATTTCTCGACATACATTTCCCATGTTTTCAAATGATAAATCGTTGTTTTTATTTTCTCCCAAAAAAGAATAAAACCAGAGGGAGGAGGGTTGGAGAGGGATCGTCGTCATCATCATCAAGATCAATATCCTAAATTAGAGACATTTT